AGTGAATAGTAGTTAAAGACTCCTAATATAAAGTGGGACCATATTTTTTCAGGATTATTTGATGAAAGAAAGAACAGCATTTATTTTAGGCATAAATCTTTTGTAACATTGTTAAGTGTCTTTAAAAAAAGAAACGTACTGACCACAAATGTTTGAACAGTAATAGACAGATAGATAGATAGATAGATAGATAGATACACTCTAAAAAATGCTGGGTTGTTTCAACCCAACGTTGGGTCAAATATTCTCAGCCATGATTAGACCCAGACGCAATCTCTGCTGATTATGTGGAATGATGTGAAACATGGTCAAATGTGTTAAACAGGGTTGAGAGGACTAGACTCTTTTAGCAGCTGAAAACATCAGAAATGACACAATAGGGACAGGCTATGTGAATGACCAGCTTCCTAATTCTGCAGAAACCTACAGAGCAAATTCCATATGGGCCATGACTGACAAGCTCACTGTCTCCTCTCAGCCAGCATGTCTGATCTTCATTCCCTGAAATTAATAACCATATTCGTCACTCTCATTCTTAAGAGCAACATCCATTATCAGAAGAGATAACTAATGCATAAATACACTTAGAGTCGGGCATAAATCCACTGCATGTGAGGCTTTAAGAGATATTGCTGCTTAAATTACCAATACAAGTGTCACCTAACATAAGTGTTACAATGATATATGGCATATGCTGGGGAGGGGAGGTCCAACATGTTATTAGTTAGATAAACCTAAATTTGTTGGGTTTCACTCGTGTCTGACAGCCAACGTAAATGTATATTTTTACCATTACAACTAGACCCCCCACCGCATCATTGTACAGCTACGAGAACCTCGAATCCACAAGAATGCTGGCAACTTTCGCCTTCCCTTTCTATTAAACCCAAAGGATACATTGTGTCACATTTTACATTCATTAGCAGTGATCTTGCAGGGACTGTTTGTACGCGCTCAATGGGGAGGCCCGCACACAAGTGGGTTTATTTTTTAAAGGCCTTGTGTTTGGAGAATGTGGGGTAGGAATTGTGTGACTTGGCCAGGTTGCTGGTTGGCTTTGGCTCTACCCTGTTCTCTCTCAGTCTACCTCCTTCATGAAGGTTGAGTGTAGAGTTACCCCAGCAGCCGAGCTGGGTAAATACAACGCTGATCCTCAGAGAGAGAGAGAGGACCTAAGTATATGAAACAAGCCCAGCCAGCTTTCAGCGATGAGGACAGGATCGATGAAGGTGGTGGCGTACCACAAACCAAGAGTAAAGATAGAATAGGTGGAGGAACCGGACCACTTGTAGAAAAAATGTATAAAAAATCTGTGGTTTTAGGAAGTCCTGCCTTTTAGTTAAAAGAGCCAAAAGACTCTTTCAGTTGTTTTTTTGTGCCTTTGAGGGATAGTTCAACCAAATATTTAAACTCTGTCACCTGTTACTTGCCTGCATGTTGTTCCATGTGGTTTAATAAAACCTGAGAAATTTCTGTCCCTCCATTGAAAGTTTATGTAACCAGAACTTTGAAGCTTCAAAAAGTTTGTAAAGACTTCATGAAAGTAATCTATATGAATCAAGTGGTTTAATCCATGTCTTCTGAAGTGATATATCACTTTATATGATGAACACATTTAATTTAGGTGCTTAATATTCACATATAAACACTGATTAATGCACATACATACCCTCCAAAAGGGGGTTATGTAGTGTAGGGTTATTGCATAGAAGAACCATTTTTGATTCCCCCAAAGACTTAAGACTTTCTTAAAGGAACTTTTTTTTTTTTTGTTAATGTGAAGAACATTTTAAAAATCTAAAATACTTTTTTTCTACTGTAAATAGACTTTTGTGGATTGGAAAGATTCTGTGGATATTAAAGGCTCTTCATTGAACCAAAGAACCTTTATTCTTATAAAGTGTAGAGTTCATCAAATATTGTAAACGAAAACTGAACCGTACTTACTTCACATGCTGTATTGTCTTTGCAGTGTGAAGACCACACTAGATTGGCAAATCTAACCATAATTTGCTCATAATGCTGTATGAAGGGGTCCACATAGAGCTAGGGTCCCTTGCACTGGTGGTGCAGCTAAAGGTTGTGTCTAAATCACATCAACACTGGTGCTGTACAGTCATTTCCACTAACACAAACAAATCCTAATGGCATCTCAGAGCTTGTTTCAAACTTTGAATTTCATTCATTAGATGCACGGCCCTCTCAGAAATCCCCCCTTCACCCACTCTGACACCTTACATATGGCCTGTTTTAAACGCCAATGCATACAGATTACATGATTTGGCATGTGAACATTAGAGTACATGTTTGTTATTTAACTAATAGTAGAAATATGTGTTTGGATACTGTCACAGATGGCAAAATGTTACCTTGACAGATGGATTTTGTGTGTTTACAGGGTGGCAAGATTCCAATCCGATGGACCGCGCCAGAGGCCATCGCCTATCGCAAGTTCACCTCGGCCAGTGACGTATGGAGCTACGGGATTGTCCTATGGGAGGTCATGTCTTACGGAGAAAGACCCTATTGGGAGATGTCCAATCAGGACGTGAGTAAAGCGGCTGTCAGAATAATCCAACGTCTTTCCAGCCAAAATAGATCAGTGTGACATATGTTCGATTTGATTTTAAGAGTCTTTTAAAATGTGCCTTTTGTATTCAACAGAACAAATGACATCTTAAAGGGTTAGTTCAACCAAAAAGGAAAATTAGCCCATAAATTACTCAAGTCGTCCTAGGTGTATATGACTTTCTTCTTTCAGACGAATCCAGTCGGAGTTATATTAAAAATAGTCTTTGATCTTTCAAGCTGTTTCATGGCACTCACACCAAAAGAAGTTAAATAAAAAGTCCCCATCCATTAAAAAAAGTGTCTCACACGGCTCCGGGGGGTGAACAAAGGCATTCTGTAGCGAATCGATGCGTTTTTGTAAGAAAAATATCCATATTCAAAAGGTAATAATCACTTTAATGTAGCTTGAGCCAACAGTTGTACACAGAAGCAGTTCCGGGAGCATGACGTATGAGGTCGGCGTTGCGCATGCACCGGTGAGTCTCGTGAAAACCAACGTTTCTTAACAGGAGCAAAGGAAGCAAAGTTTCCTTACTTTAGCAAAGGAAAACCAGTCTCCTCTTGGCTTATATCGAAATCCTCCAACATTCTTCTTTACAAATCCTCGTTTTGTACTTCTAATTAGTGACCATTGTTTTGTTTTGATCTCTCCCCTGCGCTTCCGCGTGCGTCACTTCTGAGCTGAGGCCTTTGTTCACCCCCCGGAGCCATCTGAGACATTTTTTTTTATGGATGGGTGCTTTTTATTTAACTTCTTTTGGACTGATGCATGCAACACCCGCTGAGTGGCATTAAACAGCTTGAAAGATCAAAGACAATTTTTAATATAACTCCGACTGGATTCGTCTGAAAGAAGAAAGTCATATACACCTAGGATGACTTAAGGGTGAGTAATTTATGGGCTAATTTTCGTTTTTGTGTGAACTAACCCTTTAAGGGGCCATTCACACAGATCCTGTTTTTCCATTCTACTGCACTACTTTTCTATTGTTTTTCTATGTAAATGTGCTAGACGGATGTGTTTGACCATTGCACTTGTGTCTCGCATCTTTTGCAGTTTCTCACTCATTACACAGCATTCTAAAATTGCAGAATTCTAAAAAGTTACAAGTTCAACTTTAAAAAAAAAAGCATCTCACATTTTTCAGTTAACCATGGTTTACTACAAATAAAAAAAAATAAAACAAGGTTACTATAGTTAAACCATGGTAACTACAAATTAACCATGGGTTTGTTACGCAAAGTATAGCTTAACCATGGTATTTGTAGTAAAACTGTGGTTATACAAATGGTAATCAATACGCCAAAAAAAAAAAAAACATGGTTACTACACTTTTACTAAAATAAACCATGGTTAATGTTTATAAGTGGAGGCCATTCGCACAGAACACTTTTTTTTTATCTTAATTAGATTTAATCTATTTTTTAAATAGATTTTAAAAGATTTTCCATGATCAACCAGCTACCAAGCTTGTTTTGCCTGGCTAGCCTATTCATGCTGCTCTTAATTAATGAAAATGTTAGCTAACTAAGGCTAGCTTCACAAAGACACACAATGAGCACCCAATGGCGAAAATGGACTTTTCAATTCACAGGCCAAGAGAAACTATTATGCTATACTTATTATAGAAGGTTAAGAACAAGAGCCATGTGTGGAATTGTGGTAAATGTGTAGTGGTTTGTTATGAAATCTTGTTGTGTTGACATTGTTATTAGTTCTTTAGCGCTGACCCTGAGCAGTGCCCTCGTTGCTGCAGTTCAGTAACTTCACCCTGAGCAAATAAGGCCCTGAGAGTTTATTTGAACTGGTTTATGGCAGCGCTGATGATCGAGTGATGAAAAGCAAAAGGGAGTTACAGATCTGGAGCACTTGGCAATTGATTTTGTGTTGTTGCATGAACGGAAGTGCTTTATTTTTGTTTCATCCTACTGGATGGTGACAGTTGGCATGCGTGGAAGAAATATGTCCTGAGGAGCTCAAAGGACAGGAAATTTAACAAAATAGTGCCTCATCTTTAAAGAAATAGTTCACCCAAAAATCCAAAAATGGAAATTCTGACAGAATTTACTCACCCATATGTTGCACCGAACTTTTATGTTATAATTTCTTCTGTGAAACACATAAGGAGATGAGAAGGTGCGGTCACATTTATGGTTGTTCGCCAATTTTCACAGGCGAAATCCAGTCATTTCAATAGGAATTAATGAGTGAGGGTGAAAAATTTCCCAACACAGAAAAATATCCCCATTTCGCAACAGATTCATATTGAAAACTGCTTGCTTTGGAAGGGACCTCTGTGTGAGTTGTGCTTCATACATCGTTGCAATATTTGGCAATGGACAATGAAACTTTTTTGCCCGGAAAACTTTGCTAATGTGACCGCACCTTCAGACAGAATGACAGAACTTCAGCTTAACGATATTTTCTCATGTGCCTCAGGTGATAAAAGCAGTGGATGAGGGTTATCGTCTTCCCCCACCCATGGAATGCCCTGCCACACTTTACCAGCTGATGCTAGACTGCTGGCAGAAGGATCGAAACAACCGGCCGAAATTTGAGCAGATTGTCAGCATCCTGGACAAGCTCATCCGCAACCCCAGCAGTCTCAAAATCACGGCCAGCACCGCGTCCAGGTATGTCACCCAGGAGGACTGGCTCTGCACCGAGCCCTAGATGCTTGTTCTGATCCCAAATTGCCTTCTGCTGTTTCTTTTCTTCCTATCACGTTCAGATCATCTTCTCATGCTCCCTAATGAGAGGAAATGCTCTCTCTTCCTCCTGAACTCTAATTTGTATCTTCCCCTCAGGTCTAGATTAATGACACACTCCTACAGCTGCTCACATACAGTTATGACTGAGTTGTTCTTGAGGCCGTGTTATTTTCTGCAGATTATTTTTCTAGACAAAATTGGTTTATTTTTGGAGCCAGTTTGCAGAATCAGTCCTCAGTCAGACAGGCAGTGTTTGTGATAAACATTTGCTGACGTCCTGTTTCTCTGGTATGCAGGATGTAGTACTAATGTTATTCAAAGTATTATACACAACGTGGTCAAAAGTTAACACCCCCTTCTGGGTAACGGATTTGCCAAGACCCCTTGATTCTTAGGAAGTCTTACTCATGACATTCTAGATTTGTGTACGTTGTGGTAACAGTTTGGGAAAGATCCTTTTCCTGTTCCAGCATGACAGTGCTCTTGTGCAAGGTCTATTTTGAAATGAGTTGACACTTTGCGGAAAAAACTTCCTGCAAATTCCTGCACAAAGTCCAGACTTGAACCCCACTGAACACCTTTGGGATGAATTGGATTGGTGACTGTGAGCCACCAGTATCACCCAGTGTCAGTTCCTGACCTCACTTTATGCACTTTTGACCATATTGTTTATTTGTATTACAAGGCTTTTATGCATCCTGATGTTAACAGAACGCAGTCATCTGGCAAATCTATGGTTAGATTTGCCAATCTAGATTTGAGAACATGGTGTTCTTCGGGAGTATGTGGGAGTACTTCACGGTGTCTGTCAATTAATATTTAATCTCAAAATAATTTTTCTTAAAATAACTTCCTACTCTAATTTCCTCTGCTGCAATAAGGCTCAATTCACTCGAGGGTTCGTCTGTTGCGGGTTGCCCCGTGTGGTGTGGACGTAAGTGGTACAACCAGTAGCTCTATTATTATGAAGTATGTAACGGTGACTAATGGTTTCTTAAGAAAGTGAAAATGGGTCCCAGGGAGTTAGCATGTCATTTTCCTGATTGGCTTTTAACATGGCCGATTGGGGTCCAGCGCTGGGCCCAGGTGATTTATGGCTCTCCAGGCGTGACACACTCTGAGGTTCCGCTGCCGCCGGTCTGCAGTCACAGCTGCGTTCAAGCCCTTGCACTTCATTTATCTACACGCCCTGCATGCTAATGGGGTGGCATCCCAGCCATTAGGCCAAAAGGCCAGACCCGGAAAGAGATGGCGTGCAGATGCTCGGAAGTAAAATGTCGGCACTCTCGGGATGAGAGTATGTGCATGATCCCAGAGCCTTTTCACAGCAAGAGATGCATTCTTGTCCGTGACGAAGCTACCCAGATGTTTCTCTGTGAGGAACGTCCTCCCTCCTTTCCCATCCCTAGAGAACTTTAAAAACATGATACTAAGCAGCCTCGGTTATTTAGAGGTCACTACATCAGAGGGAAGAGAGGAAAGCAAAAGAAAAGAGAGGGAACCAGCAGAGAGGCCGAGTGTTTACCTCTCTTCTTCCTCTCCCTCTGGCCTGTTGTGCTCCTGTCGACTGACGCCTCAGATCTCTGATGCCAGCAGCTGATGCAGTCAAATGCAGTGTGTATACACCAGAGTTTAAGCTATCACTTAACCCAACAACAGAGAATATTCTTTTTTACATTGTGAGTTTTTGATAAGGATGCAGCTGCACATCACAACAAACAAAAGAGGACTGGACATCTCTTGGTTTTCCTCTCTACTTTTTCTTTCCCATGTTGACCTTTATAGTTACAAATACAAATTATTTATCATATTACCATAGTAATAAGTAAGTAGCTGAGTGAGTCAGTTAACTGTGATTAATCCTTTTTTCCCCCCGCATTTAACATGGTAATAAATGTGTTCCATTTTAATGAAAGAACACTAAATAATAGACCCACTGGTAAATATTAGGTTCTGCAGTTTGTTTGGGTGACAATTATAGCATCAATTTATACTATACAAAACTTTGAATAGCATTGGAAATACAAATATATAAACAATAATAAAACAACTTTACCACATTTTGTGGACATAATTGACTGTGATTTTTTTTTATTAATTAATTTTAAAAAAATTAAACCCATTTAATTAAAAGGGTTATAAAATACGTTTTATTTACTGTTTTTATGTGCCATAATTAAGTTTAGAATTTAGTTTTCTCTGACAAGTTTAATGAAATTAATTTTTTTTTTTTTTTTTTTTTTTTTTTTGTTATTAACTGTTTGTTTTGCTTTTTTTGGGGGGGCGGGGGGTTATGCTTTGCTTTGTGTTTTTTTGTGGTGTGTTCTGTGTTTTTTAGTGCTGTTTTCTGTTCTGTGATTTTGTTGTTTTGTTTTGCTTTACTTTGCTTTGCTTTGCTTTGCTTTGTTTTGTTTTGCTTTACTTTGCTTTGTTTTGTTTTCCTTGTTTTGTTTTGTTTTCTGTTTCATTTGGTACTTGCTGTACCTTTAAGACTAAATGTAAACTTGCTTGTGAAATTAGATACAGCAGTGCTGTGTACATAGTTACAAGCTGCAGGTTTGATGTTGAGTCCAATGTAATCTTCGCTGTCCCATCCTTAAATATAACAGTCTTTTAAGAAAGCTGCATCACGTTTAGAAAGGTTCACAAAACAACTGGCACATAAATGTGCTGCTCCAACTGTGAAGGTTAGACTAAAACGATCAAAGACATTGTTAAAAATAAACTTCAACCACTCTCTCCTGACATCAGAAAAGGATTTCTAAAGATCCTGAGTGCATCGGTGCAGTACTTGCAGACAGCTCTATTCAATGAGCTATGTCAGCACTTACTGATCCTGTTTGCCAAGTAACTTGGATCCATTCAGCATTCTTTTCCAGTCAACTCAGCGTACATTATTCTTTTATTTTCATCACACAGTAATGGAACACTGGGAACATGTGGATCTGAGTGCACTTCCTGCTATCTTAATTTGTTTATTTATATGAATATAAATATCAGTCCCCAAAGGAATTGTAATCTCATTTGCGTCTGTTCCCCTGGTTTCAATCAGGTGCTATTGGACCTGAATTGTGGATTTCAGATGCTGTGAAATGATCACTTGTATTTATAACATCTATCTTTTATCTAGCATGCCCATACATTGGTTGTCAGAAACTGCAAAGACCTCAAATGAAGACCTCTGAATATCAGTACCTTTAAGAACTACCTAAATATCTTTCTATAATATTTAGTTCTAACTTTATATTAGTATTAGGATGATTTTAAGCAGGCTATATTTTAAGAGTCACATTTAAATTACATTTTGTATGCAAGGAATGCATTTTTTAATTCAGTTATTTTTAAATTAATTTTAGTTTTTGAATTGTTTTGAATTAATTTTAGATGTATAATTAAAATGTTTTGTTTGACACTTTCACAATCTGGAATTGCTTTCATAATGTTGTTCTTAGAGGGCAACTCAATATGATTAAGTTATAAAATTTCCATATTTTCCAACCCACATTAAAAAAAAATGTTTTATAGTAATTTATAGTAAATTCTATAGTGTTTTTGAACCAAACTATAGTAAAGGGTATTATACTGTATATATTATAGTATTTACAACACTTTGTTAATGAATGCTACAGCATACTGTAGTATTAACTATAGTGAACTGATAAACTATAATAAATACTGTAGTATACTTTAGTTTTTACTACAGTAAACTGTAGTGTATTGTAGTATAATATACCCTAGAGTTGTAGAAATCTTAGTATAGTATTGGGTAAAGTAATTTGTTTATATTACTATAGTTGTTATATTACCAGAGCAACTAGAATTAGAATTACCACAACAAATTAATTCAAGTACTTTACTATAGTATGGTTCAAAAACACTATAGTTTTTACTATAAATTACTATAGTATTTTTTTAATGTGGGCATAAAAGGATTACATATAAACATTTCCATACTGTATCTGCCAGTAACATGTTAAAAGTGCGTTCATTTAATTGAGTAGCTAATTAAACTTCACTTATATATATTGTATTTTTGTGTAGGTCTATAAATGCGTTGGTTAATAAGTTAGCCTTTTACCCATGCAATAAACAACGGAAACTAGTATTGGAATGTGAACAATGGGAAGTCATCAGAAACAGAGATGTCTGTGTATTCGAATAAACATTCCTAAATGTATTGCTTTCTTCCTACGGAATGCTTGCCATAACACAGATGGAGAGAATCAGTCCCACTTCTCTGCAGGTATTTCCGTATGGAGACCTTGGATGCAAGCTTGCATATCGGGTTTGAAGGCCTTTGTGTTTAGCCTTTGCTTGCACTTTTATAAGCTTGTTTTCTCCATAAATGACATTTGTCAATTGTGATGGGAATTGCAGACGGCCACAACTTCAGTGTTGTATTTTTTTCAGCATCAGCGAGTTGTGATCTCTTAAAAAGCTGTTGTGTATTAGTTCTACAAAAGTATTCTGCAAATGAAAGTTACTTGTGCTTCATTTCTGTTGGGCTGCACAAACAAATACTTTAATATTCACAATTCAACTAACAGTACATTCTCTGTTTTTCATCTCTTCTCAGACCGGTGAATCTGCTTCTGGACAGGACCAGCACTGACATCACTTCCTTTCACACAATGGGTGATTGGCTGGAGAGTGCGAGGACGTTGCCCTGTAAAGATGCATTCCGTGGGGTCAGCTACAGCTCCTGTGATACACTGGCCAAAACCTCAGCAGAGTAAGAGTATTTTACTATACAACCTTTCTCTTTTTTCTATTATAAAACTAAAATCTACACTACCGGTCAAAAGTTTGGAATAATAACAATTTTTTAATGTTTTCAAAAGAAGTCTCTTACTCCCACTAATGCTGCATTTATTTGATTAAAAATACAGTTAAAACTATATAGTTTTACAGTTACATTGTGAAATATTATTACAATTAAAAATAACAGTTTTCTATATTAATATACTTTAAAATGTAATTTATTCCTGTAATGCAAAGCTGAATTTTCAGCATCATTACTCCAGTATTCAGTGTCACATGATCCTTCCGAAATCATTCTAATATGCTGATTTGGTGCTCGGCTATTTACAAAAAAATGTAAAGTTACATTATACTTTATATTATAAATGTCTTTACCTTTCATCAATTTAATGCATCCTTGCTGAATAAAATAATTTATTTTAAATTAATTACATTTTCAAATATATTGGAAAACAATTATTTTAAATTGTAATAATATTCCACAATATTACCGTTTGTACTGTATTTTTTATCAAATATATGCAGCCTTTCAACAACATTAAAAAAGTCTTAATTATTCCAAACTTTTGAATGGTAGTGTATTTTTGTGAACAATCATAAGTGCAAACATACTTTTGTTTATACTGTGCACATCATCAGTTTTGAAGGAACAGTTGAACATGAAAATTCTGTAATTTTCTCATTTGCTTGTTGTTTAGACCCAAATGATATTCTTTCTTCCATTAAACAAAAAAAGGGATTTTTTTATCGTCAGTTTTGATATGTTTATTCCCTTATTTGGTCATTCTTCTATTATAATTGTCCCTGTGCTTAAGGGTTAGCATTCTGTACGTTTAAGTCCAAGGCAAAAGACAAGTGATATAATTTAAGTGTGTTGGCATAAAACAGTTTAAAACCAATGCAGAAGAAGATGACAAATTTATTTACAGATCAGTTTCCAGTAAATGAAGCCCAGCTTTGGCTAATCCTTTAAAGGTGGCCATTACATCTGTTATTAATCTCCAGTGACAGTGCTTTAGTAATGTTTTCTTCTATTGTAATCCAATAAATGGAAGAAGAAGAAAAACAAAACCTCTTTTGCCAAAAATAAAAGTGCTGTCCTCCTATAATCCCCAGTTTTGGAAGCGATCTAACGGCTTGAGTTGGGCTCATTCCCCTGAGTCAAACAAATTTCTAATAATAAAGACCCTATTCTGCTCCACAGTATGGGTCTGCATTTATGGGAAATGCTTTGTAGATGTTGATTAGGAACCTTGCCTTGCCTGGTTAGCATCTCCTAAAACCACTTTTCGATTCCAATGACGGGGTATTTGACAATGTAAATAATTTGACATTCATAACTTGAGAATGATCAAAGGGCCGGTCTGGGAACAGTGGCAGTGCTGTGCTGCATGTTACACTTAGGACTAAACATCTAAACACTCAGCAGTCTGTAATTAAGGCTGCTTGTGGTTATATTTTGTTCAGATGTCAGCGTAAATAATCGTATGCAAATAGCGGCCCTCATCCATGACCCAGATTGGGTTATTTAACATGCAGTTCGTCTCTCAGTGTTTGGCCTTCGGTAGTGAGTGGACACCACTATCTTTGACTGACCACAGAGTTAAAACAATTATTTTTGTGAATTTTAAGGGCAAATATGTTGATTTATATGCTTTAACTGCTGAAAAGACCAAGATCACCATTATATATATGTATATATACATACATCCATCAACTAAGCCAACATCAAACCATCACTAACCAGCCAAAGCGAAACCACACCAGAATAAACCACTACTCAGTGGTGTATAAAGTACCTGAAAGCCATACTCAAGTAAAAGTACAGATATCTTACCAGAAAATGACTTTGGTAGAAGTTGAAGTCACCGTTTAGAAGTCTAAAATGTAAGTCACTTATTGCTTTATTGAACTTGTATAAGATGATTATTATATGTGTTCATGCTGAAAAACGGTACTCTTTGTGTGATATAGATTGTTAAATAAATTAAATGATATAAATATATTTTAGCATTTTTGCCGTCTACAATTTAGAATGCCTGGAATTTTGAGTTTTAATAGATTAATAAATCAACGTGCGTGCACTCTGTGTGTGATTCGGTGAGCCTACTATAGCCTATTTTTAGAAGTCTAACTTAAAAGCGCCAGACCACTGATTCGTCAAACCTGCTTTGCTGCAGTCCGTGTGCTTCTGACTTCTGACTATTTTGTAGTAAATAACGAATATGCTTCGGGGAAATGTATCGGAGTAAAAGTATACATTTTAATTAGGAAATGTAGTGGAGTAAAAGTAAAAGTTGGCTGAAATATAAAAACTTAAGTAAAGTACAGATACTCCCAAAAAATACTTAAGTACTGTAACGAAGTATTATTACTTCGTTACATTACACCACTGCCACTACTAACCAGGCTAAAACCAGCACCAAATCAGTTCTAGACAGCATATTAACCAGAATTTAACCACATAAATAAGCACCGAAGTAAAAGCACACCAACATTAAGCAATACTAACCAGTGACAAGTCAACACTAACAAGCATAAAAACCAAAAAAAAAAAAATGACCAAAAGACCAGCATTGCACCAGCATGAGAATTTATATTGGTCTTTTCAGCAGTACTGCACCAATTTGAGAGCCTTCAATAAAGATAAAGATTGACATCTCAAAAATTGCTTCATAAAATAGTTCAAATTTAAATAAGCTATTGGTGTTTAATGGGTATACCAGAAAGATGAAGAATCGCAAGAGAGAGATCATTATTGATGATTCAGTCACTTATCACTTTACCTTGGTTGTGTTGTTGTTGGGGATATAGTAAGTTTACCAGATGTTTGGCCTCTTACTGCAATTTCATGTGAAATTGTGCAGAACATTAGGCTCTTTATTCTATCATTGAAGGTTTTTCCTTATTTAGCACAAGTCGCATTAAAACTGTAGACAAATCTGAATTGATATAGCAGGCAGCGTGCAATAGTTATACTTTCTTGTGTCTTGTTGAGTTATTTCTGGTAAAACAACACATTTTCTTTGAAAAATGGAAGTTAATAGAATTCAAATGACACTTTTTTTCATATTATATAGTAAATAAGTTATAAATTGTCACTTAAAACAAAGCTCCAGTTTTTTATTTTTTTTTCATGTGTGTTTTGCTTAGTATACTTCGGGGGAAAAAACTGAAATTAAATAAAAAATATAAGAGTATATATTTTCAGTCTTTTATGTACTTATCAATGAGGCCTATACTTAAGTATACTTAGTTTATACTGAGAAGTATACAGAAAAGTCAAAGTATATTTAGCCTATAATTGTGATGTATATTCACTGGGCGCTGAGATACAAAGCGATTTGCGCTACGCTAGCCAGAGCGAAATTATCGAAACTTTTACCAGGAGTTCTATTTGGATGCCCCGTATCTACTGGCCGCGCGGGTAATCGTCACAGAGCCAGCTGCAAAAATTTAACAATTTTGAACTTTGACCAGTGCGCGTGCGCTTTGGTCGACGCAGCAACAAACCGTCCTCGCGCGGTGCAAGCCATTGAAATTAATGGGTTTCATAGCGCCGCAGCGCTTTCCACGTCGTGTGTGAAAGCCGCTTAATCGCTATAATTTAGTATTCTAAGTATGCTTGGCTTGTAATTATGTTTACTCTTTTGATAGAGTGGCCTATTATTATTATTATTATTATTATTATTATTATTTGTACACATATTGGCTTCTTTTAGGTACTCCAGCATATGTTTTACCTCCTGATAAACTTACATGTTCAAGTTTATAATAACAAGTCTGCTTTGGGTGCAATAGTTTAGAGTAAAATACTACAAGGGTGGAACTAAACTTGATCTTTTTGTACACCATGCTATTAACCTACACAGAAACAGATCGACATTTGGATAATTTTATTATTAATTATTTTATGGTGTGTGTAAACTATAAGTATGATTTTTAGTTCACTGAAAGAACATTTACAAGTAGTAACTATACAAACTATTAAACTACTATTAAACTGGAGTGTATACTTCAAAGTTTATTTTATAATCTAAAAAGTGAGCTAGACATACAGTATAGCTAGTAAACTAACAGTACCCCTAAGTTTACTTGAAGTATAGTTCACAGAATCGTTACAAAAAAGAAGAACTTAGATGTATATTAGTTGTATACTCATTGCCTACTGTTATAGTATAAACAACAAACTAAAAATTCAACCAAATTAGTCCAAGACGTATTGAAATTGTACACTTTCAAGTGTACTACTAGTACATTGATTTTAGTATACTTACTACATAAAGTATATTTTGGAAAACACTGGGGCTTTACTACTAAAAAGACCTTGAAATATACTTCTTTTTTTGTAATGGATTTTTTATAAAAGAAAATTACTTGACCAGACTAGTTTGCATTTCTGTTTTCTTAAGCGACAAGATGTCTTACAGCTGTTATAATGGTATAGCAGTTACTTCTTGATTTCAGCTGTTTGCAATCACAATGTATCCTAGCATTTTAATTAGCATTACAGACAACATGCCTCTGAATTAGTTAAATCTGCTTTATTGAAGCTTGAATTTGACTCTGTAGTAGATCAAACGACTTTTGTCACACAGAAATGTTGCAGGCCTGTCTTGATTGACATTGTGAGCGTTTGTTTGGCTGATGTCAGTGCATTAGCAGTGCATTGACGATAAACAGCATGTGTGTCAGTCGATCTAAAGCTGTATTCTGCCCATAGAATCTGTCTGACTGAAGTCAGACCAGCAGCCACGTGCCCTGAGTGGGAGCCGTCCATGGGAATTACAACACTTTAAAGCTTAGAGACTGGATGGTGGGTTCTGATCGTAGCTTTTCTGTTACTGGCTGCTCCCTCAAGCTTTTGCTTGCGCTCATGTCCAGATCAGGACTAAATCGCTGCTGCACCTTCTAGAAGTGTTTCTAACAGAACTCGTGCCTGAGGTGTGCATAGATTGTAACTTAGATTATAACTTAAACCTGCTTGCACTAATATGCTATAATGATCTTCACTGCACAGCTTTTGCATCCCTTGATCTGACAATACTAAGAAAAAAGATTTTTTGTTGTTGTTGTTTTGCAAAAGCTTCTGTATTTGAGGTGTACATTAAAGTGATTGGTTTGCCACATTTTTGCAATGTACAGTCGGATCTAATGGGAAAAACGTGACTTAATATGAGTTTTTGTAAAACCTGAAATAGGCAGTACAAATTGCTGCAGTTTCCAGTAGAAATGTCCATTGAGTTGAATTTTATTTTATACAGAGGAGGCCTTAACAAGGCTAAACAAGTCAAGCATGTCAACAAATAATATTCTAGTGACTTAAATACCACATACAGGAATAATTTTTTCAGCCTAATTAAATATAATTGTAGACCTAAAATTCAACCAGAGAAGAGACCACTACAGAGAGTGGGTCAAACCCAAAACGCAAGCTCTAGCAGTAGGTCTTAAAATAGATTTACAACAAAACATTTGTTTCTGGATAGTTGGCCAAAATTAAAAATCTGTTTTAACTTTTGCCTGTCCTGCCAATATTTCCACTGGCCTGGCACAAATATTATAAACTGTTAGTTTGACCAAATATTTTATGTTTAAATTAGATTATTATTAGTAGTAGTAGTAGTAGTAGTAGTAGTAGTAGTAGTAGTAGTAGTAGTATGTGACATATTTAAATTAAACAAATATGCAACTACGATATTCATTATTATATTCCAAAATATTAATATCCAATAATTATTTTAATCACACATCCAAAAGTGTGAGGTTCGTTTTTTTTTTTTTAAGAAATTAATACTTATTTCTGTATTATTTTATTTATATTAAATTGAAAGTTACAATACTATTACAAAAGTTTCTGTTTCAGATAAATTCTGTTCTTTTGAACTTTTGTATTCATCAAAGAATCCTTAAAAAAAAAAAAGTACAGTTTCCACAAAAATTTTAAGCAGCACAACTGTTTTCAACACGATAATAAGAAATGTTTCTTGAGCAGCAAATCAGCATATTTGAATGATTTCTGAAGGATCATGTGACACTAAAGACTGGAGTAATGATGCCAAAAATTCAGCTTTGCATCACAAGAAAAAAATTATATTTTTATATACAGTTGTGCTCATAAGTTTACATACCCATTGCAGAATATGCAAATATGTTAATAATTTTAACAAAATAAGAGAGCTCATGAAAATTGCAAGTTATTTTTTATTTAGTACTGTCCTGAATAAGCTATTTCACATAAACAATCACATGTTTATATATACACCACAAGAAAAAATTATAACAATGTATAAAAATGACCCGTTCAAAAGTTTACATACCTTTGAATCTTAATACTGTGTGTCATTTCCTGGATGATCCACGACTGTTTTTCTGTTTTGTGATAGTTGTTCATAAGTTGGTCCTGAGCAGTTCAACTGCCTGCTGTTCTTCAGAAATATCCCCCAGCTCCTGCACATTCTTTGGTTTTCCAGCATCTTCTGCATATTTGAACCTTTTCCAAAAGTGACTGTATGATTAATGCTCCGGAAGGAAAAACCATGCATTAAGAGCCATGAATTTGAAGATCAGGGTTAATTGAACTTATTTTGTCTTCTGATAAACATGTAACCATCTTCTGTAGCCTCTGAAGGGCAGTAGGCTACTAAATGAAAAAAAATAAGATAATTAGGCAAAATAAGAAAAATTTACACATCTCCATTCTGTTCAAAAGTTTTCACCCCCAGGCTCTTAATTCATGGTTTTTCCTTCTGGAGCATCGGTGAGCATTTGAACCTTCTGTAATAGTTGCATATGAGTCCCTCAGTTGTCCTCAGTGTGAAAAGATGGATCTCAAAATCATACAGTCACTTTTGAAAAAGGTTCAAATATGCAGAAGATGCTGGAAAACCAAAGAATGTGCAGTAGCTGGGGGATTTTTCTGAAGAACAGCAGGCAGTTGAACTGCTCAGGACCAACACAGGACTCATGAACAACTATCACAAAACAGAAAAACAGTCATGGATCATCCAGGAAATGACACACAGTATTAAGATTCAAGGGTATGTAAACTTTTGAACAGGTCATTTTTATAAATTCAGTTATTATTTTTTTCTTGTGGGGTATATATAAACATCTGTTATGTGAAATAGCTTATTCAGGACAGTACTAAATAAAAAATAACATGCAATTTTCATGACCTCTCTTATTTTGTTAAAATTATTAACATATTTGTATATTCTGCAAGGGGTATGTAAACTTATGAGCACAACTGTATATATAGAAAACATTACAATTTTATAATATTTCGCAATATTACAGATTTTACTGTATTTTTTATCAAATGAATGCAGCCTTGGTTAGCATATGAGACTTCTTTGAACAATAGTGTATATTCTGAACCCATGCAATAACTTTATTTGAACAGAACAAATTTTACTCATTACTCCTCATAACCTTGTCGCAGTGAAAGTAAACCACTTTTTTAGCACCACTGCTGTTCATTTCACCTGTGAACTACAGCGACAGTACCTGCAGCGACGCATTTTACGCATGTAGAGTCACGTTTTTCCTATGAGACCTAGTCGGATATGTGCACACGGGATGAACTCATCCATATGGTAAGTCTGGAGAGTCTATCCACGATTGTAAATAATGCAAGCTCCTGTCAGCTGTTGCATGGATCTCATTAAATGAAAAATGTCGTTCTTTTTCCCTCCGGGGTAACCCTGACAGTGCTGTTCCTTTCAAATTACAGTAGAAATAACCGATGAAGCAGCTACTCCAATTTCTCATCACAGGAAGCTGTAAATCAGCCCAGTGTTTAAGTTATAACACAAAGTCTGTCACGAGTCCAGCTCCTCAGCTTATTGTATGCGTATGGCAGCATGGTGTCCTCCTGGAATACTTCGGCCTACATGACTGACACAAGCGGTCTAAGGCAGATCGCCGCTGCGGGCTTGTTATTAATGTCACCGTATGTCAAACCGTGAGCGCTATATTACCCGTCCTCACTGTCTCTCTCTCCTCTCTGACACGCAGGGACTTCAAGAAAGTCGGTGTGACGATCGTTGGACCTCAGAAGAAGATCGTGAGCAGCCTAACAACACTTGAAACACACTCAAAGAACGGTCCAGTTCCTGTGTAAAATTAAAAACGAGCGACTGAAATGAAAGACACCTAAACGAGATTGATGCTGCTTTGGCTTTAACAGACAGGAAGTAAATATTAAACGAAAAGAGGAAGTGGAACTACAATTCTTGAACACATGTGCGAAGCAGAACAACCTTCCTGGAGAAAGATCATGTCTTCCCGGGCACGAGGTGCAAAGACGATGAGCCAGCGATTGTCGGCGAGAGAGGCGGATGAGCGCGGGCCTCGTGTTTAGGAGTCTACGGTTACGCCGCATGGCTCCTCCTAGAGGACAGAAGCCGGTCCGATCCGAACGGATTTAACGAAGAGCTCTTCACATGTGGCAGGGGAGCATTAAAAAGCCTTCAGGAAAAGCTTTGCATAAGCATCCGTCTTCCTTTTGGAAGGTAGCACTTCAGAGAGGCAATAGCTTGCACCCCAGAGTTTTGGTGGTTTCTTGTAGAAAAGCCCCCTTTATTAATTCTTCTGAAGAACGGCAGGAGAAATACAGCTGGTTACTGTTAGAGCAATCTGGTGATGCTTGTTAGGATCTGACACGTTTGGCTATATATTTGATAATTAAACATTAATCTGCAAGTGCAGAGAGCCATTCTCCAGAATCAGGGATTTAGTAGTGGAGACCTTGGGTAAACATGCCATTTTAAAGGTTTATTTGTTAATGTAGCCCATGACATGTTTGTTTGCACCACTGTGTTCAGATGATATATGAATTCATTATCAAATAAAAACAGTACAATATAAAGAAAATAAACTGTTTACTAGAATCAGTAACAGTCATAATGCATCACATGAGAAAAGCAGACAGAATAGAGTGATGATGTGTTTTTGCAGGCCAACCCAAATGTTAGTATCACCAATAGAACTTTGCCATTGGTTTTTGGATTATTGCTGAAAATAGGCTCTTACACTTCCAGAGCTTATTTTAGGCATTTAACCAAAAGTCCATTCACAAAATCTATTGACGATGGAAGCGGAAGTGCTAAATTGCAAACTTGTTTCTAAATTTTGACCTGCAAATATATGTCATACCTGCAACTCTCTATACCAGCAGGATTTGGACAGTCTCAGATATGATGAGGTAAATGGGCTGTGTTCGAAATAAAATACTAGCTTACTACATACTGAACACTCCCCGTATTGTTTAGTATGTGAAACAAAAGATTTTGCAGCAACATGTTAAATAATTGTCACGTGACCTCATCTTGGTTAAGTCAGCGACATCCAATTATCAACTTGAAAATAAATCAGGTTCCTTCGCATTTTTAATCCAATTATGTGTAAAATTCATACTGAAATCATGTTGACTTGATTTCAATTTGACTCGATTCACCTCAGATATGGCTTCACTTTTCGTTTGTCCCCACAGATGCTCTCCATTCCGGCAACACCTACTTTTCCCAATCCAAATCAGTTCCCAATTGATTAAACAAAGTCCCATTTTTTTCTCGTTGAATATCCTGGAATCAGATTATGGAAAGAAAATTAGTTGTTAATGTCACTTCACATTGAGTTTAACATTTGGCAACCAATCAAATAATGAGTCAAGAAAGATAATTAAAGTCCCCATGAAATCAAAATTAAAGTTGTTTGGGTGTTAGTATCAATATGTTAGTCTTAAGGTTACGTAACGCTGCGTGTTTCTAAGCATTTCAGGGGACCTTTAAATATCACTTGTGATTTTATCTTTTTTCTAAACTAGTTCACCTAGAAATTAACATTTGGTCTTCATTTACTCACTGTCACGTCAATCCAGACCTGGCTTTATTTCTTATGCAGAACATAAAAGAAGATATGAGATTTTTTTTTTTTTTGTAATTAAAAAAATCAATGCAATGTGCAAAGAAGTCAATGTGCACCAAAACTGTTTGGTAACCAAGATTATTCAAAATATATTTTGTCTTCCACAAGCAAAAGAAATTCATCCAGCGTTGGAACTTTTTGGAGTGAACTATCCCTTTAAGCGCAAACCCCACCCCACAGACGATTTCATTGGTCGACTCAATCAAAAGAGGTTCAGATGTTTCAGGCAATCAGTGCTGTTGACCAGACCAATGAAATCCATGGGGCAGAGTTTACACTGAGCTGGATTGTGAAAAAATAACTCAAATATTACAGCTGCTTGCAGTATTTAATTATGCTGGAAATGGAAGATCAAATCAAGCATGTTGCATTGTGGGATACAATATTCTGTGCAACTCTGTTGAATACTGCACATTTTGCCTGGAGATTCCATGCATACAGAACATTTGCATACTGTGCACAGTATATAAAATATATTATATACTTCAGGAGTAGTAAGAGTAGTGCTATTCCCTACATTACCATGCTCTGTGATTTCCTGTAGTGAAATTCACTTTGAGATCAGGACTATGAAATCTTCCAGAAGTTTCATGTGGAGGGTTATTCAAAAAAAGGACAGCTGTGTTCTGATCAAGTATCATCTGTCTTCAAAATACAAGGTTCTTCATCATTTATTAGTTTGAGACTGAATATGGGCTTAATATCATTATCCGAATATTTTCTTAAGACATCCTGATCATAAAATCAAAAAAGAGCACTAATGGTGCACAAATGACAGTCTGACATTGTACTGCACTACCTTATGAAGGAACAGTCCATTTTTCCTCTTCGTCCCTTTCATTCTGCCTGTAAATGTTGCTTTCTCCCTGCTGTTAGCATGTACATATGCGAACCGGACCTGTGATGATAGCAGTGGTGACTCTAGAGGTATTATCATTTACCCGGCCATCCCTTTGTACAAATGTCTGTATGTATGTATAAAAGAATGAACAAATATCTGTGCAACCTTTACAAAACCCATTTGTATGATATTTTATGTTATTTTGTATTATATTTGTTTTACATAAAAACAATTATAATGACTTCTTATTTATTTCTTAACAACAAACCACCATACACAGTGCAGATTTTTTTTTTTCGTAGCATTCAGTAAGTTATGACAAGGTTATGTTTCGACCCTATCAGTGTTTTTATATTTTACTTTGTTGAAGATGATGTTTTGAAGAGCAATACTGTTTTGTGTCCTGTTCCCCTTCTTTAGATGTATGTGTGTGAGTGTGTAGATGGCCTTGTCTACTAATGTAAAATGATTTGTAGTGGAAACATTTATATTTTTATAATAAACATTCTCAAAATATTTTCTAAAGAATGAATGCTAAGAAGAAAGTGTCTCGCTTTGCTGTTTGTTTTGCTTACACACACACACACACACACACACACACACACACACA